TGTATCTCCATTGATGACTATGGTTCTAGTGTCACCTCCAGATGATGCACCTGCTTTTTTGGGGTGAGAATGGGGGGAAAAGTCTCAGGACAAGGAAAGCACCATTTCTGTGGTCCTTGCTGTCTGCAGATTTGGAATTCTTATCTGCCCTATCCCAGATCCAGGCCCTTTAAAGGACCCTTCCATCTCCATTCCTGTCTTCCAAGGGCTCAGATAGTCTTCCAAAATAGAGACAAGAGAAAGAGTGCCTGTTTTCCTGTGATCCCTCTTCTCCTCCCTTCTTCAAGGACTTCAAGAATTTGCACAAGAAGCCATTTCCAATATTTCACCGCAAACCAGAGATTTCATTGTCCGGGGACTGCACATTAAAAAGTGCTCTTGGCTTTGAAGTTTTTGTTTAATGGCTCTAAACTGAAAGAAAATGTTTTCCTATTACTTAATTCAATCATAGCAAAGAGGCTTGGTAAAAAGCCCATGGATTTTGGCCAAAGTGTGACAGAGTTTCCTTTGTGTTTGCTTATCCTCTGCTGTCACACAGTTTAATTCGCCTCCCTTTATCTGGCATTCAAAACTTTTTTCAGCGACATTCAATAAAGTCCAGCGGCTGGAGGGAGCGAGCACAAGGGGGGGGGGGACTGGTTATTCTCCCCTTCATATTCTTCCCAATAGCTTTGGGCTTGGTCTGCATTCAGAAGGGTTAACTCCTTCCCTCCTGGAGCTAATAGATTGGGGTTCCATCCTGAAAGTACAGCAATACTTTAGGATGTCTTTCTAGAAAGGTCAATTGTCTAAGAGGAATAGCTCATTCCACTAAAAAAACAACTCTTAGACTTGATTCAAAAGGGTTTCCCTAACTGAGCACTTTACAGATGTGCTGCTGTTTTATATCTCTCTTTACCCTCAATTAATATGGAAAAAACTGGGACAAGACGCATATTGTTGTCTACCAATATATCTGGAAGACAAGAGCTGTATAGAACAAAACCAAATTTTCGCTTTATTTCAACTATTCATGAATAGTTTAGCCAGGAGTTTTCGGTGCTATAGCACCCTTTTCCTTAGAATGGTTATGTGGTACTTAGAAAAAAGATATCTACAGTCCATGGCCTTATTTTCCTGGCCCAACTTTGTCTTTACAGAAAAAGGAAAGTGAAAAGCGCAGTTCTTGAATTCAGATGTGTTTATTTTAAAAGTTCAGTTCAACATAATTTCTGAAACTTATTTCCGAAAAAAGTATGTTTCAGATCTGTATGAAGTTGTGGGGAAACTGCATTTACATATCTATGCTGGTCTATGTCCAAAATAAAAGCAAGCAGGCATCTACGCATAAAAAAAATAACAAGATAAAGTTGTAAAGAATGTCTCCTTTCTTGAGGATTCTCAAAAGGAGAGACACTGATTAGGAACTGTATTTGACCAGATCATCTCTGAGTAGATTTTGCATCAGAGTGCACAACAACCATTCAGAAGACAACCGGCTGAAGTTGTGTGATTCTTGATTTAACAGTTTGTCTCAGGATATGGAGTGTGCCTAGGGACTAGTAATTATACATTCAAATTTAGTTACATGATTGCTTTCAGTCTAGGTGTAAAACTCAATCGTACAACTTTCTAACTCCCTTAGTAAGTCTCACTGTTCACTGGTATTTCTGTCATCTTTCCCATTTCTTCTTTATAGCAGTGGGTTCAGTCCAGCAATGTTAGACCTTAAGTCTCATTGATTTCAGTGGGAAATATTCAAATAGATAACTAACTTTCCTCTGCAAAGGGGTGTTATTCAAAACTGCTGAATTATGGCCAGTGAAACTTTGCAACACTCTCTGTTAAAACAAGCACATTGGAGAGTTGGCAATTTTAAACAGCAAAGATAAGAGAAGGCAGATGAAAGTATCAGAAAAGACCTTAATTTCTCTTGGCTTTGAACAGATAAGTGCATTTTTTCCATTCAAGTTGTGTCTTCTGTTATATGTGGATTTGATTTAATGTCCAAATATACCTGAAAGTTTGCTCCAAAACATATTGCAGTTATTATGTTTGGGGATAATAGCATGTAATGATCAATTCGGACTTGCCTGGAAAAAAGGTGATTTTTTTTATGGATTTCCAGTTAGATTTTGCTTAGGAACCAGTTGCTGTATGTTTCTAACAGTCCCTTCAGATTCAGACATCTGGTGGATGGAATATTCTCTTTCATATCTCTGAACCAGGACATAAGCATCCTTACACATTTAGGAGTGATGTCTAATACATTGAAGGCCCCATGGTTGCAATGACCAATGGCACTCAAATAATATCCATGTCATTTTTTTTCCAAAACAGATCTGCATCTAAATGCTGTGCAATACCTACATGATGGACAATATCTCTCTGGCCCTCATTCATTGGTATGATATGCAGAAAAATCAGGTCTGATTCTGAGTCTCTAGTAGATAATTTTATAAAGATCCTTTCATTGGCTGGGACCTCCTAAAAATAGAGATCTTGGCAACAGCAGAGACAGACTAAAGCTTACTTACTGTCAAGGTACTTCAACCTCACTGCTTGATTCAGCTAAATAGATCAGCATTGCCAAATAGTGCATATAATAGTATGAGCATCCTAGCTCTTAGTCATGCTTTTCATTGCCATAGTTTTAAAGATATGCATTGGAGATACCATATTTGCATTTGTCTCTTAAAAATAAAATTGATCACCCCACAAATTCTGTTCCTCACCCCTCTTCTCTGAGATCTTACATTTGAATCTCCAGAATCTGTAGTAACTGGTATCAAAATGAATGGTGTGTGTGTGGGGCGGGGGAGAGGAGTGTCTCTCTTCTTTTGCTCATTATTTGAATATGTCTGCTGGAGTAGCATCTTTTTTTATCCTTGATATGCAGGGAAGACATTCAATTGGACGATTTTCTTTTATGCATGCTAAATCATTTTGAAGACCTGATTCTGGAAATGGATGGGAAGGGGGGTATGTAGAGGCTGGACTGCATTGGGAAGCATCCTAACATTGCAATCCCTTCAATAAATCAAGGGATTTGTTTCCAGGAAATGGAGGATTCCCACCAGAGGAGAAGGTGAGCACAACTCTGTGGCTGAAATTGCTGTGAATTTCATCCCTTTCGTAAAATTGTTTTGTGGGAAAATATTCCAGATTCTTGGTTTTGAAGTAACGCTGCAACCTTGTCTTCCCAAAATGTGACTACTTGGAAAGAAAGCTCTCTGAATTGGCTTCCTCTCTTTTAAAAATTGGCATGGTGATTCCTCCAGGGAGAAGCAGCATTTTGGCTTTACGTTTTTAAAGCTATAGTGAGCCTAGGTAGGATAGTCCATATTTACATAAGTATTAATAGTGACGAAAGGATCACTGTTATTGCATAAGATTGTATTTTTAAGCCATTAATCTTCATCCCCAGTTAAATAATGCTGCTAATTGTGTCTTTTATTCTTTGCTCTTCTCCATTCTGTTTCAGATTCTATGGAATCATGAACTTCTCTGTTAATTAACATGTTGTTTACTATTTTGGTAGATATTTATTTTACTACTTAAAAACTTGCATAAACATGAGTAGATAGACAATAATAAAATGAACATTTGCCAGATAATTCCAAACAAAATACTACATATTAAATGTGATATAAATGTATTTATTTACATTAAATATGTTACACATTAAATGTGGCATCAAAAAATTAAAAATCAGAACCCTGGGCTGTGATCAAATCTTAACAACATTTATACCCCATTCTATCATTTGGACAGAATTATGGCAACTGGAATTCTACCCTCTCCCCAAGCATAAATGGTATTTTTACAATAATAAAATATCTCATTTACTTTCTGCTCTGATTTTTAAATTGTGATGCTATCTGTCAAAAAGCATCCATCATGCTGCCCTCACCCAAATTTTTACTGTAAAATATAGGTTGGAGATTTTGTTGATTATTAAATTGGTGAAACAAAATCAAGGTGGACTAATAAACACAAATTATTTCAGAGGAGGTAAATGTCCGTTACTAGGTTTAGTTCAAAGTATGTTTCAATACAAATGCAACTTGAAAAAAGAGGTTAATAGGAAATCAAAGAGAATAGTTTTTTAAAAAATTTTTCCATAAAACTGTAATTTTAAGCAGGATGTTGGAAATTAGCCGGGGTCAACCACAAATAAATAATTTTAGATATCTCTCCAACTTTTTATAAAGGAATTTTCAACCAAATCTGCTATTTAACATCCACTTACTTGAAAATCAAATGCCAACAAAACATTCGAAATAGATGGATTTTATAATCAAGCAATGGTAGTTATGTTCTGAGGACACAGGCTTTCATAGAAGCAAATTCCATAGATTTGCCAAGTGCCTGAAGCATTGCTGGGAACGAAGACTGTCGATTGAGTTGCAGACCTGTTCGCTTCTGCTTTCAACTCAGCCCCAGATGAAAATGCTCTTCCTTCCAGAGTCTGTGAATGTTTTGAACGTTACAAGGTGGTAACTCAGCGCTGACGCACCGGTCCAATCTTCCCAAAAGCCAACGCCACTACCCAAGATCGGAGGCTCTTTGAAATCCCGCACCTCCAGCGCAGCGCATAGTAGGAAACTGTATACGACCCGTCCGAAGCGCAACAGGGGCTGGAGACGAAGGAGCCAATGGATTAGCGGCGGGACGAGGGAGGAGGCGGGTGGGGTGGGGTGGGGGGGACTAGGGAAGGGAGCCCAGAGACGTGGGTGGGGTTGACAAGAATGAGGGGCATTGTGAAGCGCTTTGGGCGAGCGAAGGGCATAATGAGGGAGTGTGCGGCGGCGGTGCCAAGGCGCGGCACAAAAAGCCCATTGACGGGGGCCGGCGCAGCTTTCATCACATGGCCCCCGAAGACGCTATTTAAGCCGGGCCGGGCGGCCCTTTCAGCACCACTGGCGCTGGTCAGCGCCCTGCGAGCAACTGGGCGGGCAAGAGGCGCTGCGCCGACGAACCCAGCGGAAGGCGAGGCCGAGGCTGGACGGGGCCGAGTCATGCCGCGGTCTTTCCTGGTGGACTCGCTGGTGCTGCGCGAAGCCGGCGGCAGCGACAAGAAAGGGGGCGTCTCTCCCGGCAGCCCGCCGCCCCCGCCGCTCTTCCCCTACGCCGTGCACCCCTCGCACCCGCTCCACGGCCTTTCCGGAGGCGCCTGCCCCGCGGCTCCCGTGGCCGCCTCGGCTGCGCGCAAAGCCGGCCTCCTCTGCGTGTGCCCCCTCTGCGTGGCCGCCGCTTCTCAGCTGCACCCGCCGCCGCCGCCGCCGCCCGCCCTGCCCCTCCTCAAGGCTTCCTTCCCGCCCTTCGGCTCCCAGTACTGCCCTTCGCCCCTGGCTGCCAGGCAGTCTCCCGGAGGGTCGTCCGCCTCCAGCGGGGGCCACGTACCCGCCCTCTACCAGAGCGCCTACCCGCTGCCCGACCCCCGACACTTCCACTGCATCTCCGTGGGTAAGTAGTTTGGGGCACGGGGCGGGCCGGGGAACGGCTGACTATCTTGCCGTAGGTCACCCGATGCTTCTCAGCAGGGCGGGCCGAAACCGATTTTTCGCTCTTCGGTCCCCGGGAAGGTCGTTTTCGCTTGTCTAAACGCAACAGGCGCTTGGTTTGGCAGCAGGGTACAGGGGGGTTCCCGCCACACACTTCCGAATAAAAGCGATTTCAGGACAGGTGTCAGGAGAATGAAGTTGTTGTAAATAGGAGGGAGAGGAGCGAGAGAGCGGGACGAAACTGACCAGACGCTCCCTCCTGCCCAACGTCTGCAAAGCAGAGATCTTAAAAGAAAGTTGTCACAGCAGACGGGGAGGCTCAGCTGGCACACTCTGGGTTCGGAAGGGGAGCGAGATTGGTTGGCATTCGATCACCAGGAATTCCGGGGGCTGTAGGCTAGAATAAAAAGTCTGAAAGCATGCTGGAAAAGGCAGTGGCCAGTCACTCCTGTTCTGTTGCCTCAAACCATAAATTCCCTAAATTCCCTAGGAGGCGAGTTATACCTGAGGGAGCTTTTGCTGTTTTTTTCCCAGCCTAGGAGAAAATGCAGCTGAAGACGGGGGTAATTTGACGCCCCGACCAAAGTCCATACTTTCGCAGTCAGTGGGATTAAAGGGATGGACTGTTCGCACCGGATTGCACACCTAAGTGGCAGCGCAGTTCTAGAAACGAAGTCCGGACTGCGGAAGAGAGAGCTGAATTGTCAGCAGGGATGGTTGAGAATTCAGGGAATTGGTGGGTGCCTGAGCAGAGAACGGTGCCCGGCGCTTGACGGTTAGCTCAGTTCTGCCCCTTTCAGAGGGGGAGATTCTAGGCTTCGCACAGTCCAGCCTGCTGTCCCGAAAAACAGTTTTTGCACAACCTCTAAGGAGCGCAGTGCTTTGGTCGGTCATTCCAACGGTTTTTACAAGGAACCTTCACAGGTTGAAAGAAGTCAACCTACCCTGACCCTCCTACCTAACCCCCACCCCCACCCCCGCAACTCGTAGAGGCATTTCCGAGTAATGACTTTGAGCTACCCAGTAGTGGGGAACTCTTTGCGGGGGTGGGTGGGTGTGAAAGTGCCCGACTGGGATCCTCTGTAGGATCCTTTGTCGTGCCCATCCTGCAGGTTAGACGGATAGTCGCTCCCGTAGCCCCAAGCTCAGTCAAAACTGCACCTCAAGGGCGCTTAGTTGTATCCAGGGGCTTAATAACTGCCTTCTTGGCTAACCGCAACAACGATTCCTAGCACGGTCTGCATAAAAAGAGCGTGGCTGTGGCGGTGTAAAACCACACCCGCGCTAAGCTTCCCTACTCGCTCGGGGTCTTTTGGGAAGGGTTGGCTCGGCCGCGGTCCAAACTGGCTCGGACCTGCCGGCCTTGACTTTTCCGCTTTGCCTCCCCGCAGACAGCACGTCGGGCCAGCTGCCGAGCAGCAAGCGGATGCGCACCGCCTTTACCAGCACGCAGCTGCTGGAGCTGGAGCGGGAGTTCGCCTCCAACATGTACCTGTCGCGCCTGAGACGCATCGAGATCGCCACCTACCTCAACCTCTCCGAGAAACAGGTGAAGATCTGGTTCCAGAACCGGCGCGTCAAGCACAAGAAGGAAGGCAAGGGCGGCTCCCATCGCGCCGGGGGACCGGCCGCCCCCGGCTGTAAGTGCGCCTCCCTCTCAGCTGTGGCCAAGGGCTCCGAAGACGAGGAGGACTCGCCCATGTCCCCGACTTCCTCGGGCAAGGACGAGAGAGAACTCGCCGTCACCCCCTAAGGTTCCTTGGGCCCGTCGGGTCTCCCGCAGATGGAATGGACAAGGGCGGCCCATAGAGCCGGTGTAAATAGCCCCGCGGCCCCTGCTCGCCACCAGCGCGCTCTGTGTCCAGAGCTGTTGGTCAAGGGGAGCCCCGTAGGTTCCCTTCCCGAGGCAGCTTTTCTTCCTTGAGATTAACAATGCCGCAATTAGCCAGCGGAGGCTGACACGACGCCGACCTCCCTCTTTCTTTGAAGAGTAAGGAAGAGTCAAGGTCAACTTGGTTTACCTCTGTCGGCGTCTGGGTGGGGTGGGGGGGAATCCCACGGCTTGGTTATCTCCGAGCCTGGCATCTTTCTCTTCCTCTCCCCCCACCCCTCTCCTCCACCTTCCCTTCGGGGTTGTTTCTGGGTGTGTAAAATCTAGATCCTGCTCCCTGACAGGTTTTCTTTAGAAGCTGGAAGGCATTTCACTAGGGGAGCTGGGGCAGAGAGCGCAACGGATTTAACTTGTGGGTTTCTTTTCTGTTTTGCTTCTTCTTTTTGTTGTTGTTGTTGTCAATTTTATGATCCTTCTTGAAATATATTATGGTACGGCTGTATTGTTTTCTGGAAAAAATCAGGAGATATTTATTTATTTATTTATGTAAAGACACTGAAGCAAAAATAAAGTTGTGTTTTTTTTTTAAAAAAAAAATAGAAATATATCTATATACACTGAAAGTTTGTCTATGCTTTGGCTTTATAGAACGTCCTGGCACTAACTATCCCCTTGGATGACTCCCACTAATTTCAACTGGAAGACTGTGACACCTTTGACTTTCCTACCAGAATCAGGAAGATTTTTTTCCCCCACTCGATGTTAAATAATATTATTCTCAATTTAACTCCCCGTGGATATAATTCTAACTGATTTTATTGGGAACGGTAACTCTACCCCCCCCCCTTGAAAACTGTGCGATGTAGTAATTGCTTCCTTGGCTTGGCTTGGATCCAATGTGCAGCATCACTCAAGAGCTGACTTTATTGGTATTTACTTCTGAGTAGACATTTAGGGCAGTACTACATCAGACCAGCACAGAAACAGGTTCTTCCTTGCTGACAAAATTCAGTATATGTTGTATATGGGTGAAAGGTAAGGAGGAAAATGTTAGCCCTCACTAATGTTATTAAAAGGCAGATCATGCAACCTTTAGGCACCTCATGAAAAGCTTGTGCGTTTGGATAAAACTAGTTATCCCTGCTTCCAGAACCATTCTGATTTCTTGCTACCATAAACGAACACAGCTCTCCTCCCACACTGTATAAGAGAAATATTCAGGTTATATCTGGATGCTTAACTTTGGATTGCTGCTTTGCCACGAATTAAGAAAAGAAAGATAAATATGGCCCATATACTGCAGTTGTCCACCACAGAATCCATACTCCTCTCTGCTTCCCCCACCTTCTTTATCTAACGTGTAGGTTAGCCAGAAGACCTACTCTATAGAAGACAGCAAACGATGCTCGTTAAATCATCTGACCTGGCACCTTCTTCTATGCAAACCTCTACACAGTCTGATTCTTTTAAAAAAAAATCATTTATACAGAATTAACTTTAAGAAGGGTTTACAGCGGTAACACTAAAAAAATGTGCAGTGCACCCCAAAGCACATTCTCCATTTCATACTTGCTGGCTCTGAACTACCTGAGGCTTCTGAGCCCACAGCCTAGTGGGATTTACGTCTGATTGATGCTTCCATGGTTTTCGATTTGCTTTAAGAGAGGACACAGAAAGAACACATCACAAAAGTGACCCTCCCCTCCGTGCATCCTGTTTGCTGGCCCCAGAAAAAGCAATTCCTTTGGAAGAATGTGGAAAAGATGTAACATTGCGTTTGGGTGTGTGTGTTTCTGGTCACTTATTGTCTCTGCCCCCCTCCCCCAATGGCAAAACACAAGCTATAATTATACTTCTTGCTTGTTAATGGCAGTCTTCATGAGATTAGAGTGGAGCAACTATTTAGTTTCAGTCACTTGAGCCAAGCTCTTCTTCGTGTTTTTTTCTTTCCTGCCAGAAGTACGTTTGAAAGGTTGAAGTTGGCACTAAAATGATTTGGTTCCTTCTTCCAGCTTGAGTGAGCTCTGCAACCTGGATTCAGATACCCATTTGGGAGACTTAAGTCAGGAGAGTAGACAACAGCATCCAAAATAAAACTATCCCGGCTTCCCCGCTTACTGACATGGTCATGCCAGGCCGTGGAGTGAGGAGAAGGAGCTGAAGATGCTGTGGCCTCTCTGTAAGATATGATGTGAATGTTCACCAAAAGCACCTCAGAGCGCTTGACTGGCTGTTTCCTTGGATTGCTCTAGAGCAGGGGTAGGCAACCTTGGCTCTTTTATGACTCGTGGACTTCAACTCCCAGAATTCCTGAGCCAGCCATGGCTGGCTCAGGAATTCTGGGAGTTGACGTCCACGAGTCATAAAAGAGCCAAGGTTGCCTACCCCTGCTCTAGAGGAACATGGGCCTGAATCTTCAATGTGCACCCATATTCCTCCTAGGATACTTTTTGTGATGTAAGTGCCTTTGAGTTAGACTTGACTCCTCATGAGTACATGGAGTTTTCTTGGCAAGATTTCTGGAAGTGGCTTGTTCTTGCCTTCTTCCTAGACTGAGAGAAAGTGAATGGTCCAAGATCACCCAATTGGCTTTGTACCTAAGGCAGGACTAGAATTCAGAGTTTCCCATTTTCTTGCTGGGCGCGTTAACCATTACAGGTAGCCTTTGACTTAAGACCACTACTATTGGGAATGGAATTTCAGTTGCTAAGTGATCCAAAAGCAGGTCATCATGTGTCTAAATCCAATTTTACCATGATTTCTACCTCTGCCATTAAATGAATCACAGGGTTTTTAACAAATCCAGCTTCCCCAATTAACTTTGCTTGACAGAAACCATCTGGGAAACGTGATTACATCACAGCAAGATGCTGCCACTGTTGTAAATGCAAGCCAGTTGACAGGTATCTGAAGTGAGATCACATGACTCTGGGGGTGATGCATTGATTCTAACTCCAAAGGTGGATCATAAGTCACTTTTTTGAAGGCCATTGTCATCTTGAACATTAAATCATTAAATGAATGCTCATAAATCGAAGGCAGACTATCCAACTGGATGCACATGAATACTCAAAGCTGAATTATGTCTAGGATTGTTTGATAAGGAACAAAAAGATCTGGATGACCACAAAGAGGCAGCAGAGAGATATAACTGCCACTGGCTTTGCTGTCATCTAGTGGCAGTCCAAAATTTTGCAGCCTTATTGGGTAACTCCAAATTTTAGACCGCAGGTCAGGTTTGACCCATTATTGCCCACTCTGCTCACATAGAATTCTTAGCTGTATCAGTTAAAAGCCTAGAAGAGGGATCTTCAAACTTGGTCACTTTAAGACTTGTGGACTTCAACTCCCAGAATTCCTCAGTCAGCCAGGGCTGGCTGAGGAATTCTGGGCATTGAACTCCACAAGTCTTAAAGTGACCAAGTTTGAAGACCCCTGGCCTAGAAGCTGCATTCACACCAGATGGTAACATTAATATTAAAGTAGTTTCTGTTGGTTGGTTTGCTTGACTGTTTTTGCAACTTGGTTGTGCAGGACCTGGAACCTGTGCTGGGTGAATAGAGCAGGGGTGGCTAGCTATGACCCCTTCAAGACCTGTGAACTTCAACTCCCAGAATTCCCAGCATGGCTGGCTCAGGAATTCCACAGGTCATAAAGGGGCCACAGTTGCCCATCCCTGCTTTAGACTTTTATGGCTTTCTGAAGCATCAGAAAGGATTTTTAGTTTTCTAGCACTTTACGGAAATACCTGAGATACCTACAATCCTCCGAGTCCTGTTAGAGAGGCAGAGGTAGAAAAAGGATAAAAATCTACGACACAGAAAATATATCAACAGGAGTTAACCACGTTCTTCATTTCCCCAACTTGGGAGCTGAAACAACGACAGTAACTCCATGCTCATTCTGTAATGAGTACTGGTTTTTTCTTGGTTTATTTCCTTTTCTTCCGTTCTCTTCCGTTCTATTTCCTTTCCAGGAAGATTAACCATAAGAAGTCAGGAAGCTTCTTAAGGTTTGCCCCTTCTCTGGAAATCGGATGCCAGGCTATGGTATTTGTGAAGTTGAGGTGCAACAAAAGATGCTGAGACTCAAGAAAGAGTACAGAGAAGAGCAACAAAGATGATTAGGGGACTGGAGGCTAAAACATATAAGGAACGGCTGCTGGAATTGAGTATGTCCAGTTTAATGAAGAGAAGGACGAGGGGGGACATGATAGCAGTCTTCCAATATCTCAGGGGTTGCCACAAAGAAGAGGGGGTCAAGCTATTCTCCAAAGCACCTGAAGGCAGGACAAGAAGCAACGGGTGGAAACTAATCAAGGAGAGAAGCAACCTAGAACTAAGGAGAAACTTCCTGACAGAACAATTAACCAGTGGAACAACCTCCTCCAGAAGCGGCGAATGATCCAACACTGGAAGTTTTTAAGAAGAAACTGGACAGTCATTTGTCTGAAATGGTATAGGGTTCCCTGCCTGAGCAGAGGGTTGGACTAGATGACCTCCAAGGTCCCTTCCAACTTTATTATTATTATTATTATTATTATTATTATTATTATTATTATTATTATTATTATTATTATTGTTGTTGTTGTTGTTGTTGTTGTTGTTGTTGTTGTTGTTATTATTATTATTGTGTTGTCGTCGTTGTCGTCGTTATTACTACTACTACTACTACTACTACTACTACTACTACTACTATGTCCTTCTCCCCGATCCTTAGCCCAAACAAATGTGCTCATGGCATCACAGCGCTCGCTAGCGCTGTCATCGGAGCGCAGACTTCTTTTCATTCGCTTTTACGCACCTTGAACCTCTCCTCTTCAGGCTCCGGTTAAAACAAGCGGATCTACCGCCGATCTCTCTTTCCGTAACTTAGAAAGGAAGAGCTTCTGCCTTAAAGGAAGACTCGCTCAGGGAAGTCTA